GAAGGGATAATATATGAGAATTCCGGCGAAGACGTATAGGAAGCCACTTGAGTTCAGAACGAAAATGAGAAACATGGTCATATTTGCGCAAACCAAATATGAAACGGACACAAAAGTTTTGTAAACGCTCAAGTTTATTAAGCTGGTCCTCCAAAAGATCAAGATAGCAGGCGTCGGCGTAATCGAGGATAGGAAGCAGCAAAGATTGCGCTAGCGCAGCTTTAGTGGCAGTGGGTAAGAAGTTTCGAAGTCTTTTCAATGAAGCGGCTGATGCATATAATTTGCGGCTGACAGCTTGCAGTTGTGCATCCCAATTCAAATGACTGTCCATAACTATCCCAAGGTTCCTTACCGTTCGACTAAAAGGAATATCAATGCCATCAAAAACCACTTTCGGTAGTGCATGTAGATCAATTTTAGAAATCATTCTGGAGCTACCTGTAATCATGACTTGAGTTTTAGCGGGATTAACACCCAAACCAAAATCTTTAGTCCATTCCGCAATGCGTTGAAGGTTGTGGTTAGTTTTTACCTAGTTCAGTCAGTGGTGCTTCGCAGTAAATCTGAAGATCATCTGCATATAGGTGATAGGAACAAGAAAGATTATGAGAAATGGAATTAATAAAGATTGCAAACAAAAAGGGAGATAAAACGCCGCCTTGGGGAACGCCAGCTTTCGTGTCACACCATGATGAGAAATTCTCGTCGAGGCGAACACGCTGCCTACGCCCATACAGGTAACTGCGAAACCAATCAATTACCGTTGGAGATATGTTAAGTAAGTGCAGCAAAGCAAGAAGTATATCGAAATCAACCGTATTAAAAGCGTTACTGAAATCCAGTAATGTTAACACAGTCAGGTGACCATTTTCCATCGCTAGACGAATATCATCAGTGATTTTTACTAGAGTCGTAGTAGTGCTGTGACCGGGCCGGAAACCAGATTGCAAAGGATTTAACAGGTTATGCCGAGAAATAAACTTACTAAATTGTTGATGAACAAGACGTTCTAAGACTTTGGATAGGAAGGGGAGAACAGATATCGGACGAAATTCATTAATAGATTTGGGATTACATACTTTAGGTAAAGGAATTATCTGAGCATCTTTCCAAGATGAAGGGAATATGGAATTAGAAATAGAGCTATTGAAAAGAAAAGTAAGGACAGGAAGGATAATGTCAAGGATTGGCACAAGCATATTACGACTGATGCCGTCGCTACCAACAGCATTGGAGGTGATTGACAGAACACACTTCTTAACATCACAATCCGATAATTGACCCAGAAAAAACTGAGAGTGATCTGGGATTGCAAGAACAGAAAGACGATTTAAAGTATTAATTTTATTAGTGTCACTAATAATAGACGAAGAAGAGAAATGGACATTAAGAGAGTCAATATCAAAGCTGTTAGTAATGGAGCACTCCTTTGATTTACCAATCCCAAGTGATCTGAGGAATTTCCAAACTTTCGCTGGATCATCGTTTTCGACAGATTTATGGATATGGCGACGTAATGCGTCCCTACACACCACATTGCAGCGATTTCGAATTTTTATGTAAGTCTCTTTGTTATGGGCACTTGGACGTAATTTATATCTTCCTCTAGCAACTACTTTTTTATGTATCAATAATTTTATGTCTTCAGTAAGCCATGGCGCAGGCAAGTGTTTTAGCTTGATAGGCCGAAAAGGGGCATGCTTGTTATATAGTTGATTAATTTCTGAGTTAAAAGCTTCTACCTGTTCATCCACGGTCTGAGCATCTAGCACAGGTGACCAATTGATACGACGAGCATCCTCAAGAAACTGCTCACGATTCATACCACTAAAGTTGCGCTGAAAAATGACTTTAGGTTTGATTTTAGGAGGACGAATTTTATAGGACACATAAATAAGGTCATGATAGGAAAAAGCATCGGCTGAACATTGACCATACTTTGCAACATGCTGTAGAGATGACACTATAGGCAAGTCAAGAAGAGAAGGCGTGGAGTTAGGAAAATGATGAGTTGCATCAAGTGGAAGTATGTGCATGTTGCTTGAGTTAATAACTCTATGAAGAGAAGAAGTGCGATGTTAGTGTGTGTGTAGGTACTTAATAAATAACTAACTACATATTAAAAAAACAAAATTGATTTACTTATTCGTGCACTGTAATGATGGGCGATGGAACTCAAATTTAAGTGTAACTACAACATGACATACTACATGATAAGCGTATAAAATCTGAAAGAATGTCTGTTATACTGAAATCGTTGAAGTACTACTCTTTATATTGAATCGTATTTTTAAAGGAACAAATAGAGACCGAAAATCAAACAGGCAACTAATAAATCGATAATAGTATGATATCTGAAAGAATGTCTGTCATATTGAATCACAATTCGTTCATTTTTCATTGTGTTTCAGAAAAAAAAATAGGAATTGAAACTCGAATAGACAACTGAAAAATCACAAAACAATGAAATTATCATCACCTGTTCCTCGTAGACATTTAATAAAATAAAAGCTATTTATTACCTTTTGAAATAGGTTTCATACTATCGAACCTCTATGTTGTAATAAAAGAATGGCACTCCTGGAATATATAATTATATTTTCTTTTAAATTAAGTCAGTGTACAAGGGCAAATGTATAACGCAGTCTCGATTATCAATGCTTTATTTATCCAAAAGACCACTCTATTTACGCCATATTAGCAGTAAAAAAATATGTTACTACATAGCTAATCAGTACACAAAGACAAATAGACAAGCACAACATTTGACAACAACACCTTACAAGTAAATTTTTCATTGGTATTATAAAATTGAGGACGCTTACGTATAAAGTGATCCACATACGTGTGCCTACATATAAACATTCATTTAAACACCCGCATGTCGTGCCTATAATTATCTAACAAAATATTGTACAGTTCAATTCAATACGTCAAAATTAATACGATACTATCTAAATCAATTGACGCACAGTTAATCTTCTTTACGTTTCGTGAGTATTTCGTTTGTTAGACATATATCCATAAAGTATTTTTTATAAGATAAATATTAATATGTCATTGAAACTGCATAAATCAATTTGTTTTCGGATATAATATATTGATTATATTTATGTAAACTGATATTACTTATAACGAAGAAAGGTTTTTCTTTATTTGTAATAATTTTGATGAACTTAAAATTGGAAATTCTATCATCAATATTATAGCGTATTTACACTGGTCGGTGGCTTTAACATACAAAGTTTAGACCTCTGCGCGCTCGTCTCATTGGTCATTAAAACAATGGATATTGAAAGTGAGGAACAGAACTCGCCCTCACATGGTAGTCATCGTTCAGTGTTAATACATACACAATAAAGCTTAATTACTCGCGCCCCGCATTCGGGCTCCATCAACTAATAAAATGCACCAATTAAAAGTATGTCCTATTTAACTATATTATGAAAATAAAAACTGCAATCTTATTTCTAACTCTACTTTGTACTAAATAAATCTCGAAAATAACACGAAAAGTTTCTTAATTTAGAGCTTGTCATCTATAAACTGTAAAAGCAGTAAACTACAGTAAAAATTAAGGATAGTTGTGACGTGTGACGTGACTATTAAACTGGCAGTTATTCATTATACGATAGCACCATTATTTTATTAGACCACTCTCTAAACTAATTAAACTATAAAATTATTAGTTTCGTATCATTTAATTTGGTTAAGAAATATAATATACTAAATCCCATGATATACTCGTACTACGTTTACTTCTGTTTTGAATGGCATTATTTTATGAGAACCCGCTTTACACCCGATACCTACACTAGCCTATACATGATAATTTTATCGGTTCAAATTAACAAATCTTCTTTTTCCCCTGTTACTTACTACTGAGTTGTTTAGTGAAGAACATATAGGTTACGTGTTAAAAATGCTTTAGTTAGGAACTTGGAATGTGACAATAGATTCTATCTATTGGTAGTATTTATTTAGGTAAATAATAATTAGAAATAATATTAAAGCGCTTTGCGCCCGAATGGTAGACTAAACAGGGTCTAGCTGATAATCGACGTCGGTCTATTTATGAAAAGAAAATAGAACTAAACATGCATATTTCATTTATAATGTAACATAAGTATTTCTATTATATACATAGTAATTTTCCCAAAAAAAAATGTGTATTCATACTTTTTTTTATTAATAATTGCTTCAAGGTGTGTAAGGAATACTAGTTTGGGATAAGTTAAGAAATGGGATGAGACGTCATAGGATGAATACGGAACAACCCATGGTTTAATATAGATAAATATTTAAAAGTTGCCGCTTGACTTTAAACATAACACACACGCTAATGAAAATTTCACACGAAAAGTCTTTCTCCTGACAAACAACACGAACATAATAAAATAATCTTTATTTTTGTAATAAAGTTTGCTTGATTTTAATCTTTCGCTTAAGTGGGTGTCTAAGCCAAAAGAGCAATATAATACAATATAATACAATACAATGCAATGCAATACAATGCAATGCAATGCAATGCAATGCAATGCAATGCAATGCAATGCAATGCAATGCAATGCAATTTGCACCACCAGCCCTTTTACGTCCCCACTGCAGGGGCTCAGGCCTTCCTTATGGATGGTTAAGGAGACACGGCAACGTTGGGCCATAAGAAATAGAAAAGTTAATAAGTGATACCAATATTCGTGTATGAGTTACAGGAGTCATAGCAAAAAATCTTCATCGATACTGTAAAAATCAGAGTTAAACATCAACATCCATATAATCCAAAAACAAACAGCAGATATAGTTTTATTTTTGAATAGGCAATCCGGACCTCCTTTTCCCTAGGGGTCTTGGGGCGGGGGCTAGGAAATGAAAAACCAATTTAAATAGTCAGCAGAGCAAAAGAGGAACCAAATAATAATATAATATTATATTTGAACTAAAACGTGAACTCACTCGTCAAAAATTTTTTCATTTCATTTCTCGAGCTTTAAATAGTCACCATGAAATCGAGGTTTAATAACTGTTAAAAAGTAAAATATTCTCTCTAATTCACTGTACAATTTTTGTGCTCACACACACTTAAATAAAAGACTATGTATGGGTCATGATTATCTAGTAATTAACTTAATCAGCTGTACACATCAAATTTTATGAAATAATAAAATTTCAACTTCAATTGTAGCCAAGGTCTGTCACGACACGAACGAATTTACAGTAATCCTTTTGACAAATTATTTAAAAATATATTGTATGTTCTCATAAACGCTTATTGTGAGGTGATATAATGAGAGATCACGATTACGTCGTTTACTCGAGGACTTATATCGACTCTATATATCTCTATGTGCGCATTTTGTATTATCTGATTGTATTTTCAATTTAGAAATGATATAGTAACATAATAATTATTGTTTCAGACACAATGCAGTCGATGTCGGCACTAATCGGGAAGAACCTGCCAGATGGCAACAATCCGACAAGAACAGGTATACAAAGTATAAGAATATAATTACCAACCCTTTATCTTAAAAATAACATTGAATAAAATAATAAGGTACAAATCCTTTTTTATATGTTCTCACAACACAGTACTTATCAATTTTTATAAACATGCAATTTGCGTCATTTATCAAGATAATAATCGTGTCCAGCTGCAGCATCTCATCATTGGTTTCCTCGTCAACAATTTATAACCCTTCATTAATTCAAACTAATCATGTTTTTTTTTATTACTTGAAAGTTTGTAATGAATTAAAAATTATGATGATCTTAGATATGACCCTTGTGGTATACCGAAAGTGATAGTTTTACATCTTTATAATATAACTGAAATCGAACACATGTCAAAAAATATACAAAGGAAACGTGGGAATGGTGGAGTTGAAGACTGTTCAATATGCCATAACCACGTTGTCGCAAGCCAATGTAGAAAACATGAATTAGCTCAATCTGTAATCAAACTGGGTGCAACTCTACTAACACAAGAATAACTGATATTATAAATTTTGTTTTTAAGGATTACATTGCATTTTATATTTTTTAAAGAACAACTTTTATTTAACAGCTACTTATAAATATAATATTATAGGTGACAAAAATATTTGACTTTTGTTTTCTATCGTGTATTTCTTCAGTATCCTATATTTAGTTGTTTTCACAAAACCAAGGGTTCATCGCTAGCTGCTGACACAATCCCTCGATTATCGACTAAACATTTGACCCACACTATTAACGGTTGTCGTATAGAGATAGAGATGAGGTATCGGATTTAGGTATCCGGATTTCTTTTATAGAAGAACTCTTTTCTTCTTTACGACAGCTGCTTAATCATAAGTGTGGTTTTGAATTGACAAATTGAATTGATTGAAATTATCGAGTTCTAATAAAATATTCTTTACCTTTTTCACCACTAATGTAGTTTACATAATATAAGCTTAAAGTCGGTACGTATATTATTTCCTTCATTTTCAACTTAAAGTCTCTCAAAACAAATCTACACTAAACCTTGATGATGACGATATTTCCTCATGAATTACTTAAAAAATACCCGGTAGATATGTGGAACCCATAATAAAGGATTTTTTGAAAAATAAACTTTCTAATGGGACCCAAAATTCAAAAAGGTAACTTAGTTCAATGTCCTTTCAAACGTCGATATAGTAAATACGATAATTATTGAATTCCTTAAAACGGTAATGGATACTGTATCCATTAACCATGTTTCGTCTCTAGCGGCGATAGAGCCTTGTAATCTGTCCCCGGCGACAGGCAGCTTTTAAAGGCTTCGATGGGACATACCGTCTCAGATAAAACCCTGTCTATTATCAAGTATTTTTGTGACAACAACACTTTATTTCGTTGTTCCCAAAGTTATTTGGAAACTATTTCCATAAGACCCTTTAGATTAGATGTTATGTAGCGGGTATGATATTTCATAGAAGAATAGAATAAATATTTATACGATAACTTATAACTGAATTAAAACAGATACATTCGACAACACATTAGGTTACTAGAAAAGATCAATTAATTGCGTAAAATTTAACTTTATAGTAACTAAGTGTGCAGTTCTAAGTACAAGTACAAAACACAATGTGTCGGTTGTATATTGTCAAAACTTGCTCCAGCTTATTTTAAGCAACTAGCTGTTTTCCCGCGACCTCGTCCGCGTAAATAATAGCTATATATAGATTTCCGTAGCTGAAAAACTTTAGGATCGGTCCAGTAAATTCGGAGTCTGTTTAATGCAAACAAATAATTAAATATTTCCTCGTTATAATATTAGCATAAGAATAACTAGATGAGTTTTGCCAACGGCACCAGCATCCTGCTATAACCATCAGTTAACATCTTCTGCCAGTTTGATAGCTTATTATTCAGTTATGAAATCAGTTAGTTACCGAGATTCATATTTGGGTAATTACCTAAACAAAAAACAAATGAATTGAGTCGATAAATTTTTTTTTCAGTTGAAGAATTTTACTGACAAGAGGAATGTATGAATGAATGGACAAAATGGAAAATATAATCCTGATAATGGAACATTAGTGTTACCAATTGGCGCGGATATGTAGAACCTAAATTATCCTTGTAATTTATGTGGCGCTTCACGACCTGAGATCCATGAATTCGTAACAACTATATTCCCTTCTATTTCATGATCTTCATAAATAAAACATATTATGTTAATGGTCTGGTCCACACTGAAACGAGATTTATAGGGAAACACAAAAAAAAACACATAACATTCCGTATGTAATGTTTGATATTATTCATTATTAGATGTACATAATATATTCTGATTAGTAGACCGTAAAATTATTCTAGAATTATTATATCTTCTACGAAATGAGGCTTTTGTTTCTGTTAAAATAACATTAGTTACAAATTCTCTTAGCTTTAGAGAAATGTTGTCTTATATTATACGGTGTAATTATTTTATTGCGAGTACACTAATGAATCTTATGTATTAACACATATAACAAATATTTAATATTTTAAAAGAGTATTATTTAAAATTGCTACCTACTTCAATCCGTATACAATAGGAGTTATCAACCAATGTTTCTTCTTGCATTTATTATTCAGTGTGAATACTCTGTATGAAACAAACAGCCCTTGCCGAATTTCTGGCCTGTTCTTCTCGGTTCACGTTCTCCCGTCGTAGACGTGAATTGCCTAGATTGAACATTCAATCTTTACATAATATGAACAAAGTCGCTTCCCGGTGTATGTACGCTGAGATCTTTGAAAATACACAACGGATTTTAATGCGGTTTTCATCAATATACATAGTGTTATAAGAGGAAGGTTTGTATCGTATGTATAATAGGACCACGCGGGCAAAGCAGCTGGCGGAAAGTTATTTTAATAATAAAGACATTATGATATAATGTCAGTGACAACACCGAATAAATAAAGAGGCTGTAATGGAAAATGTGGAGTATTCTTATTTCTAATAGGCTTATTTTACAAAAATAGAATGCTTCCAATATAATTATACTTGTAGGTTGTCACGGGATTATGTAAAATGCGATGACATTTAGGTGCTTACCTGATTTCCGCCAAAATAAAATGTTTGTACCCAGCATGTTTATGATGAAGGCTACCACTTCCTTGAGGTGAAGCGACATGAGCCCTTTTGTTTTCTCATCTCTGCTCCTCTTCAATAGGAGGTATTTAAGATGACGGTGAATAGTGACGTTGGTCGTATAAATACAACGTGTGTTACACGCCTTCACGACGACGTTAAAACTATTGAGCTATTTTCCCGCGATTTTCGTAAATTATTGACTAACTGACTTTTGATCAGCTAATGACTTATTCACTGTCAATTCATCGGGAATATCGAAATTTATTGGTAGGATTAGAAGTAAAAACAAAATAAATATTGTAGTGGATACTTTATTTAAAACTCAAAAACTTCTTGTTAGGATTTGCAAATACAGGACTGGGTCTCAATGGCCTGTATAATCCAATACAGGAAGCTTAGCTAACGTACACATCCATTGCGCAAGTAGGTTAAGCTTAAATTTTCGTTTTATCCGGTTCTCAACCTTTGGCTTTCAACCTTTGACCACCACTTGATACACCACTGTTGAATTGAATAGTGGGAACTTGGAGGTCCTATGTAGATCCGCATTGCGGGTGTAGAAAGAGAAAACTATCATAAGTTTACAAAAAAAGACATACCGCGATTCAGATGGCCACAGCGCCATCTATCGAAATGAGAGTAAGCAATCTATTTTACTGCAATTGTTTTAGTGTGTTTATTACGATTTGGAAATTTAGTGCTATAATAGTTAATAACAAGCTAAAATAATAAACAACGAAGTTATTTTACGAAGTTATGTTAAGACAATCTCGCCGTCTTATTGAACCGTCGCCGTGAATTATCTTATCAACTATAAAACTAGGCGTGCAATGAAATGGCCAGCCGCCCAATTAAACGGCTGTTTAAATCGGTTGGCTGCGACACATACATTACAAAAAAAATAGTTTAAAGATACTCGTAGATAATAACATAATAATATAATTTTTACAGGGATGCACTATCGGTTTTTTGCCTTAAAGAGACTTCAGTTGAGATTTTTATTGAGTTTCAAAGTAGAGATATATTCTTATGTATGGTGTAATCAGCAGCATCAGATTTATAAGAAATTTGATATTAACTGAATTTTTTCTCGAAAATGTAATTCTACGAAAATATTCATCCTATAAAAACTAATTAGGTTTACATAGATCTATGGATATTAAAAAACTATACAAAACTAAATATGTGTGTGTGAGATAGAGTGTGTGCACCCGAGGCAAATTAAATACCAGTCTTACTATCATTTCTTTAGTTTGTTCTTTTATTTTTTCCCGAGATTTAAACAGAAAGTGTGCACTCTTGCTACACATATTTTACTCTTAATTGCAGGACAGGTAATGTTGCTAATTGGAGCAATTTTCGTATCACTCATTGAAATGTCATCCTGTACGACATATCATGAACAATGGAGCGATTAGGGCGTCTAAGAGCGGAAAATTGGAGCCCCCTAACCTAACCTAACCTAAGTCGCATGATATTATACTATTTATTTTTCGATTGTGCGTCCCGATGCTATCAACGTAACATTGAATATTAAACTTTATTAGTTTTACGCAGAATAGCAAATACCCAAAAATTCAACCTATGTATGGATAGTTATTTCTGTGTAATCATTAGGTATACTATTCAGTAGAGTGATTGACATTTTGAATCACATACACAAAATGATCTGTTACTCCAGTGTTAATTTTGGAGAGAATCAATTGCTAATTTTGGAACTGCATAGCGTGATGTGTAATTTAAATTTACATTTATGAATGCTGAGGCGATACGAAGCTCGCGGGGTCGGCAAAGTTTACATTAATATACATATGTAATTTAGCATATAGTATTACACTCTTCGCTTCCCGCTGCCTATACGTTAAGACCTTTTTAACTACACAATGGATTTAAATGTGGTGGTTTTTAACAATATACAAAATAATTGAAGAGGAAGGTTTATAATGTACAATACAGGACCCCGCAGGCGGATAGCTAGTTTAATGTGTTCTAAAGTTATGTAATTTTAAAGCAGGATAACAGTGTCAGTGAGTAGGTACGTTTTAAATTGGATTGGAGGATTGAATATAAGAGTTAGTTTTACCCGACTGCTCCATACAAAGGAGGGTAATGTGTTTATGAGTCTATGTATGAATGTTGTTCTTATATGGCATTGTAGAGACCAAACGGTTTGGCCAAATTTGTTGATTTATAAGTCAATCGATTTGTCTTAACCTTGCGAGTGCCACTAAACACATAACAGTAGTCAAAATTCTTTTTTAGGGACCTCCCCTACATGAAATTAGTTATATTTTTTAGATTTCCCTATAGTGTGGGATATTGTTGTATAGGTCTTTCAAAATTATATGAAATGTGTGAAGACCGTTTTTAGATATAGTGAGCCGTTCGCAAATTATTAAGCTTTTAAGTTCCAAGAACTACTTTGGACCGAGCTGTGGTTGACTTAAGTTCGCGAATTTTTGATAAAACTCAAGCATATATAGATTTGAGCTGAGTGAAAAAGAAGTGAAAGGAATATATAATTACTTTCACTAAAAAGAAAAAACAAGCCCAGTAGTTTGGAATATTATTAAGAACTACTGAACTACTTGCTCTATTGAAATACTTTTAAAATCTAGACACACATAAAACATATCATGAATTCAAAAGCAGAATAGAGGTAGAGGATCAACAGTCGGGACCCATTTAACTTATACGGAGCTCCGTTGATTGGTCAAAAAGGGATGGGTCCTGACTGTTGATGTTGATGAGAGCAGTTTTTCAGTAGTACTTAATAACATTCCAAACTACTGGGCTTTTTTTATCTTTTTTAGTTTTTAGTGAAAATAATATGAATGAATGAATGTTTTCACGCAGTTGGGTTTCGTTTTCGAATAACAGATAGGAAAGTTTTGTCTATTTATCTGCAGCTTTAATAATAACTGTATTTGTTTGACTGGTTCTCTCCTTAGATTATCCACCCTGCCGACCGGTGACAGGTCTAACCTGCTCCGGTGTCACGCGGCCAAGTCAGCGGAATGTGGTCACAGTTCGCCGCGGCCGCGCCGAGTCCCGCGCGAGTCCCGCCGCATATCACTCGCACAGGCCCCGGGATACGTGCAACTTAACCAGTACAGACTACTCGAACCTATTGGACAGGTGAAACATAATCTAAATAAATTTGTAACTTTAATCAACAAAATTTTATTTTACACCTTCATCTTACTACGACAAATAAACATATTGAAAGAAGCCGCGTTTGCATGGGTCATCATAGCAACCTTCTATAAATTAGAATTCTGAAGTTTAAATCGATAAAACCAATTTTAAAGTTATTCGTGAACACGTGATTTGACATGTGATAGCGATATTGACTACGATGTTTTATTTTAAGGCAACGAATGAACGATATTTTTAATTTGACGTTAATTGGAATTGCCTATGCAAAGTTAGCCATTAGCCAAAAATTGCCTAAGCATAGATGCATGCTAACCGCAATTATATTTCTTGATAATTAAAATCATCGTCCGTTCCAAAAGCCATTGTTTCTTTAATCACAATCGTTACAACTTTGAAAGGCATTGCTATAGATTTTCAAACAGTTAAAGAATCTTTAAAAGATCGCATTCTACATAATGCCATTGCATAAGTGTATTTTGCTTTTAAACTTGACTGGAAAGAAGGTGAGACTATGACCTTTCACAAAGTCTATTAATTGCCTACTTCACGTGTATCTGCGTGATTATATCCGCTGTGAGTACAACAGCATATTGTTGTAAAGTTCAAGGGCTTTAATTAGCGCTTAGACTGACTAAACTTGATATGGTATACGTTAATGATTTCCATAAATATTTGGCCTTTATTTAGGCTGCGGTGAAACGACAGATAGTTTGTCAACAAACTATTGCTCTTTGAGTGACCCTTAAGGTGATGTACCGGCCCCGCAGTCAGAGGCCATCTTTTGCAACCATGTCATCACCAAAAATGCACTGGTTATAAATTCTATTCTTTAGGTTTATGCTATTTTGCTTTAAAATACGTGATTTAATTTACAGAAGAAAGACATCTGAGATATACTCATTTTTTTTAAATCTGATTTAGTTCCCGACCAACAACCCGACATGTGGTAGCGTGTCAAGCAAAGTTCAATTTAAGAACTGGCGAGTCGCACCGCGTATAATATTACACGAACCATAAGGAGCCACTTTTCACCCCTTCATAATTCAAAATCTATTCACAATAAACACTTCAAATTGGTGGTGATTCTCGGCTCCACCACAAAAATATATGTATGTAAATGGGTGCCAAGTAAAAGATTTCGCTTTTGGCTGCCTTGATACTGAAAGGCTAAGTTACCTCTAAGGCTATATAAAATTCCTGAAAATTTATCTCATCCAGTTGATATTTAAGAGTCGTGAAGGCGTCAAAATTAGTGTAAATAACATTTTCAGCTAGTTTTGTAAGCTAGTCAGATGTGTAACTTTCAACACTAAGATTTATATCTTGTTTTAGGGTTCATACGGTATCGTCAAGTTAGCTTACAACGAAGAAGATGACACACATTATGTGAGTAATTCACTTTATATCTAACTTTTATATCTGAAAACTGTAATATATAATAGTAATATTATGAAACTTAGTACATTAAGAATTATATTTTGTAGTATATTTTTTATTTAACCCCCACAAAGGGCCATGTTAAAAACTTATTTACTTTCGATACTCATTTGGATATGGGATGCTATAATTAAGTACTAAGTATCAAAACTAACCAAGGGTTCAAACAGAGACATCGTATAAGTGTTCCGGGCTTACTTTTTAAAATACAAAACCTTAAAAAGTCCTCTAAGTATAATTAATTCTAAATAGATAAAGTGTTACCACAACAAAGTCCTTAAACTACACAGAACTTCAACCTCGTTCGTGGTCGTAATTTATGACTTACCAATTAATAGTCCACTCAAAAATTTACCTTAGTCAGCTAGAGGTCTTGTGCAAAAATACATCTCAAACTGACACGTGGTTAACCGATTACTATTGATTACTTAGTTACCTTCCGATAGAAAAATTTAATCTTCGTTAATTGAATTTCAACAATTGAATTGAGTAATTAAACATGGGCTCTAAGAACAATTCTTCCACAGGCTATGAAGATTCTGTCAAAACGCAAACTAATGCGAAGAGCAGGTTTATTCGGAAGGGCGCCTCCCCGCACCGGACCCCGGGGCCCACCACCAGACCCTTTACAGAGGGTTTACCGGGAAATCGCTGTGCTTAAGAAACTCGATCATCCTAATGTTGTTAAACTAGTTGAAGTGAGAATTTTACTATTTTACAACAATTTACCATTGTTTTATTCACCATTAAGTAATAAAAGCTCATATGTAACTGAAATGAAGAGTTTGATATTACTATTAGCGATTTTTTGCAATTACAAACATCAAGCCACCTCCGTAAAGGTCGGTTAACGTCGGTGAACAAACTTTTATTATCTCGAAAAAGTACCTACAGTTGAGGAATGAAAAGGTTCGTCGAATTTCAAACAAATTCCTTTGACGTCACGAGCACTTATTACTAAATCATAAAATATAGTGCTACATATAAAACTACGCATAACTTTCTTAAAGCTTTCTTAAAATAGAAAACAATTTAGTTTAATCACAAATTTATATTAGGTAATGACAAATAAATACTTTTTTATTGAAAAAGCTACTATTGAACTGTCATTACATCTGTTACTATGAAGAAGTTTATAGTATACTATATTATATATATCTGTTACTATAAACTTCTTGGTTATTACTAATCGTCATAGACAGTTCATGGCAAATCATTACGTACTCTATTTGGTTAAGTTGCTATTGATTATTGAGCTGTGTTGTAAGCAAAATTCGACTTTATGATCACATACCTTTTGTTTCCCCGCAGTTGTTCCAGCAGCATGTCTTGCTAATGCCCACTGACCTACTGTTCCTATCTAATTCTATTCATAGGCGAGGCCTCTGCCCCATCAGTGGAGGACATTAGATCTCTGGCGATATCTATGATGTAACTTAAGGGAGAGATAGATAAACCACAAACTGGAACTTTTAACTCTCTAAAGTATCACAATAAATAATTATTTTCAAATGTAAGGAAATTCCTTCCGTTACCATTACGAAGTAGCAAAAAGATAAATAAACATTACCTACACCTATCGTTTCGCAATAATATACAATTTTACAAAGGTGATGCTGTTTTTCGCCGCCACCAATCTAATATACTATTTAGCAAATCGTTACCTAATATTTTAGGAAAAAATACTCAGATATTAGTATCGTCAATCATCAATTATCTCCCATACAACTTAGTGATTTTACCAAATTTCCAGGTGTTAGACGATCCAGCGGAAGATCAGCTGTACCTGGTATTTCAGCTTCTGGAAGGCGGTCCTGTGATAGACATCCCTACTGATAACCCTCTGACTGAAGAAGTTGCCAGAAGGTACTTCAGGGATGCCCTGTTAGGAGTAGAATACTGTGAGTATACATATAAAAACAATTTAAGCCTAAGCTATTGCCATCAGATCTTAATTTGATAAATATATTTGGCCATCAAATCCTAATTTGATGGCAATGTTATAATTGTTCAAATTAAATTTATTGAAAATGTTAACCACCTTTGCAGTTTTTAAAATCATTTTTCCACTTTTTAGATCAGTTTAAGTTTTGTATACCGATCATGATAAGATAATATTTTTTTATATAAAAACGAAACTACTCATTAACTGAATCCATTTTAAGACATTTTATGCGTTACTAAACATCTCAGCTCAGGTTCCTTGCTACTAGGCTGAGATGTAGGTCAACTTAAAATAATCAAAAACTAGCTTTTTCCCGCGATAATTATAACTTATGTCATTCATGTATTATGTGACTTTCTGTAGGTGATGGAGCTTTCAAAAGAAGAACAGTCTTCAAACTTTAAAAACGTATAGAAGAAGTCGTTTTGAGACAAGTATAATTTAAAAAAGTTTTTATTTAGTGCTTTTTAGTGATATTAATATGTTTTTATATAATAGGTAACACTAAAAATGTGAAAGTCTTAGAAACGGAGATTTCGTTTATTTGCTCGACATATTTTTTCCAATTAACTCATATTACAAAATTACAAAATTGGACAGCTATATAAAAGTTTCATCTACGGGAAGCTACATAAAACGCATGAGACAAAAGCTTTATTTAGGCAGGCGAAGTCGCAGAGAAACAGCTAGTTTGTTAGAAATTGGTTCACATTTCAAGAAGAAATCTATGAACATACCTCTATTCATAAAAAGATACACATAATTCAATCTTTTGTTTTTTTACCTTAAATTAACATATCATCTAAATATCGAGTTGATATCTGGTGAAAAGCTTATTTTGTTTTGTTATAAAAGGAAAACTACTGATTTGATTTCGTTAAAATTTAAATGGGACCACCTTTCATTAACCTGTTGAACAAAAAAGAATTTTGAAAATCGGTCAACAATTAACGGAATTTTGATGATATATTATTAATTATACATAAAAAACATACATTGCCGTCGAACATATAACCCCCTCCTTTTGGATTTTGAAGTCGGTCAAAAATAAACTATGCTAGTCATATCAAAATTAGAATTATATTTGAACAAGATCTAACGAGTTATATTATTAATTAACTTCTTAGGTACACAGGGACGGATAAATAACAAAGTGTTATAGACAATCGACCCATACGTTATCGCACGTATCTAAATTACCACCGCTCCACGAATTATGACGGTTACAAGATACCACGTTAGTACTAAGTGTTACTTAAACCCTTTTGGGGTTGAATTTCTGTCCTCGTCAATCACCTCCACCATAAAAATTATTATCCTCAATTTGCATCATGACATTATGTACTTATATATCAATTATATTAATACCAATCGATACATGTAAAACTACTTAATAATTAAAAAGGTTACATACCAATCGAAAATAGAATCTTAGCCTTTTCGATATAAGTTTGTTAAAAGACAGACGATCAGTTGCACAGACGTCCATTAAGGTTTAATAAAGTCTTTAAGCTCTAATGAATGTCAAATTTATATGGTTAATGTCACTTTAAACTAATGAAATTTTGTATGGACGTTTGTGCAACAGGCTGAGAGTATTTAATCTCCAAGAAGGGTTCAGCTGGAGAAAATGTTCCATTATTTCTTTTATATAATAGTCTCAAATATATTAACATAAAATAACATGGTGAATAAATTGTCTTTCAAATGATTATTAAGTGAAAACCTTACGTGAATTCTCCTACCGCGGTAATAATAATAATAATTATGTGTGTGTGTATATATATTGTATGGATTGTAATATGTTTTATCTATATTTGTTGTGTGCGATGTTCGATGTTAGTTGGACGCTGTTATGCAATACTGTGTCAACCCACAAATTGACAAAAATCGAGATATTATTACTATCCGCTTCCTTAGGCAATAAACTACGTTTATCAAAAGAATATAAGCAATTTAAACCATTCTAATACTAAAAATATCACAAAAACTGTTGACACGTTTTTAATATCTTCCATAGAATAATTAACAATATTGCGTCATGTTCCTTAACACATATACGTTTACTTATAAGCGCCATCTGTGTTAAGAAAAATGAGTCACGAGGCTTGATACATTATTGCACAATTCGATCATTCAGGTTAGACATGTTGCAAGAAATGTTGGCGGGTTAAAATAATAGTCTAAAGGAAAATCTCATCGATATAGAATCAAAAACTGTTAGCGAAAGAAGTTTGGAGCAGAATTTAAGTAAATACATTAAAGGTGAGTTAATATTTTGCGTATTTTTCTGACTTTTATCAAACCGCTTTCGAGGTTAGGTTAAAGTTTGAATTGTGCAAAAATGTTTTAGTTTAGTTACTACATACATTTTTGAGTGCGTTTGTAAACGTTATTTATTTATGTTAATTGTGGAATATCATAATATGTAGATAGTATTTCGATTGATAAGATCAATAATATTAACAGTTTCACTTAACATGTTATTGCAATATTACAATATTAATGTTTATTCAAGCGGTCATAGATTGTAACAGACTAAATCGATTATTGCAAAATACATCTGACTGTCATTATTATGACTTATAATTCTCGTAAAACGTTCAAATAACTTGAGTCATTATAACAAAATCCCAATAATATTTATATCAATGTATGTTTGATGGATTAATGGATTTTATTTTTTTGTAAAAATGAGTAAAAAAAAATGGTAACTTAATTTCATGTATTACTTTTCTTTAAGATGTCGTTGCAGAATTCAAGAGGTCACAAGCTGGTGGATCTCGTAACGCAAAAGGTAAATTTACCCATGAGGACGTTTTTGGCAAATGAGAAAAAAATTGAAGTTGTTCCAAATCATAATATTTCAAGACAAACCTTAATGGATATGGATATCTCACTTCCAGTTATCAACATAACAGATCAGGACTTACAACAGTCACTTGAGCTTGAGGGTTCCAGGTGTACTGGATTATTTTCGGACGTAGACATTGATGGTCGAGTATCTGTGTTTTCGCCAGTCATTGAGGTCTTTGATCAGGAAAAATCCCACATTCCAGAGCCTAATGATATTATAGTAAATCCTACTAATATGAGTAGCCAAACTTACCTTATCATTCCATACACAGAAGAACCAAGTACCTCAGATCATAACGTGGATGAAGGTGATATAAGAACAACTGACCTATGCTCGAGCAACAATACTTTTGAACACGTACGAAAAGTAGAAGAAACGACATTAGTATTGGAGCCTACGACGCTAGAAGGGAATAGCGAAAAACTGACAGATTACCTACAAGGAGATATTACAACGAGTTCCATACAAGGAGTTGCTGTAGAAGATCCAAATTGTTTAGAGATAACGAGTAACGTAACGGAAAATGTAGCTAATCAACAGTCAGGGAGACCCAGAAGAGGACGTAAAAGAAAATATATAGACCAAAACAGAAATATTAGAAAAAAAAAAAACTAATAACAATGAAAATTATATAAGCGTGTCAGGAAAACTTGTTACCTCTAAACAGTTTGAAGGAAATGTTTTTGATTGCCGTTGTCCCCGCAAATGTACTGAAAAACTATCAATAGAACAACGTGAAAATGAATTTAAAAAGTTTTGGAGTTCTGGATCATACGAAGCTAGATGTGCAATTTTACAGGGAAGTGTTCTAGAAACAGAGAAAAAAAGATGCTACTCAGCCAATTCTAAAAGAGTATTTTCTAGAAAGTACTTTTTGGGAGGTGTAGAAATTTGTAAGAAGACATTTCTGAATACACTTAGCATAAGCCAATCGCGAGTTGATGTTGCTTTAAAAAAATTTAAATCACAAGCTCCGATAAATGATCAAAGGGGTATGAAATCGGGAGGAAAAAATTCTATTTCGGAACAAAAATTGAATCAAATAAGACAATTCATTGAAAGTTTACCCAAGTACATATCGCATTATTGTAGAGATGATAGGACTGCACGTTATTTGGCTTTGGCAAGGGCAAGCATGAAAATCCTGTGGGTATTTCCAAGTTCAAGCAAATTTTTTTCAAAGAATTTAACCTGAGATTCAAAAAACCTCAGATAGATACATGTCTACGTTGTGATCGCTTTAAAGCAAGCATATCAAGCACAACAGACACTGCGGAAATTGAGCAGTTAAAAAATGAACATAAAGCCCACATAGATCACGCGTATAAATTGAGAGACCAAATGAAAACTGATTTGGCTCGTGCTAAAACTGAGGATTCACTGGAGACTCTAACCTTTGATCTCGAAAAAACTCACTGCTTGCCTCGTTTACCCACAAGTATTGTTTATTATAAGAGACAACTCAATTTACATAATCTCGGCATACATTGTGGTAGTTCTGGAAAAGGCTATTTTTACATTTGGTTGGAACATGAAGCTGGTCGTGGGACTCAAGAGGTGGGATCTTGTATAAAAAAGTTCATCAATGATCACTTAAAATCTAGTGCTTCGGAACTAATTCTGTGGGCGGATTCATGTGGCGGGCAAAATCGTAGCATTAAAATGATACTTATGTTGTTACACGTTCTTCACAAAAATAACAACTTGCAAAAAATAACGGTTAGATTTTTACAACCTGGTCATACTTACCTTCCCAATGATTCAGAATTTGGAGATGTTGAATGCGCCTTAAAGTCTCATAATCGCCTATATACTGCAGAGGACTACATCAGCGTTATGAAAAATTGTAGGAGAAAAAATAAATTTGTTGTCGCAAAACTTCAAAAAGATGATTTTTACTCGGTAGTACCTCTTCAAGAACGTGTTACAAATAGAAAAATTGACACAGAGAAACAAAAAATATCGTGGCTAGAAACTTTCGAAATTGAGCTGCGTAAAAATGATGCTCAAAATATCTTTATTAAATCAAAGCTTGACGACGACTGCAAAATAGTTAACATATCAAAAGGTGCTAAAGGTCGCAAAGTAAGGCCTAATTTTGAAATGGAACTTCCTATACTTTACCCAGAAGGTCGTGAACTGTCTAGTGCGAAAGTTAAAGACCTGAAAGAAATGATGAAGTTGATCCCCGCCGATGCCAAACCATTCTACAACTTCATCAAGAACGTTAGGTCAAGCGATTTTATAGATGATACAGAAGGCTTTGGAAGTGCTATTGATTTTGAAATTGAGACCAACATAGATGAGTAAGACAGTCGTAACATTTTGTAAATTATGTGTTTGGAAGTTATTTTTTGATGCTAAAGCACACTTTTTCTTTGTATGAATAGTAAACAGAGTATTTTTGTTTATTTTATGTATATTTGTTAAGATATGATTGATGATCTCATTTGATTTTGCTGTGATTAGTTTGATAATGGTGTTTAGCATTTTACTTTATACAGAATAATTTCTTTAATTTTTTTTCTTACATGTTTTTATTCACATGTGACAGAGATATTTAAATATAAGGTACAAAATATGAATATAAGACTGTTAAAATATAAAGACTGTTAATACAAATAGAGAATTTGTAATATTATTTGTACTTTTCTAAGGATGTTATTATTATTACAGCAATAGTAATATAATTACCAGACGGAAGGCAATAAATATCTGATAAAACTATTTAATTCACGAAAATGTGTTCTTAGAGTTGAAAGGTACACATCTCATTAAAAAAAGTGAAATATTTAAAAATGGTGTTTGATTTTTCTTGTCATCTTGACACTATGATGCGCTTTGCTTAACTTCAGGAAACCATTATTCAATAGTGTGTCAAGGCATATAAAATAATACAGGTAACATATTAATGGTTTGTTTCAAATTTAGCAATAATATGTCATGAGACTTAAATCTGTTTTTCAAAAATTATTCTCGATTCGACATTTTTTAAAAACCAAATATTTAATTTATTTAATAATTATTTGTATATTTTATGATTTTAATTTTGTTAATTGCTTCCTAGATTATCCAATCGTTTAAATACCTTCACAAAGTTATTTATTTTTATAACATAGATTTTATTTTGACAAATATGTTGTTTTTATTTTTAAACACGATTTTCTCGAAATGGCTATCTTGTGGCTTGACATAATATTGCATAACAGCGTCCAGTTATCTGTAGGTAATTTCTTTTCTTCGGTTCACTGTATTAGTTTATTAAATTAAAACACCACACCTTTCAACAAAAGAGAAATTTTATTTTTACATACTATTGTAACATTAATTTGTTTATTTATAATTAACTAATATTTCGCCGCATAGATTACTCAAAAACAATTTAATGTTTGTGGTTATATCCCTCCCTCACGCGCGACTCAAATTCAAGAAGTTCGAGAAGACCGCCAAAACGGTGAAACTTTTGAAATCTATTTTTTGCAAAGCAAAGGAATTTATGTTCATTCTGTATTGAACAATATTGACAGTATTGAATAATATTTGTTTGTTTACAACGAAATAGGCTCCGAGACTACTGGACTGATTTTCAAAAATTCTTTCATCTAAAGGAAACTACATATGCGGTGAATATATATATAGGGCAAATAAAGGGATGAAAATGGGAGTGGAAATTTGTATGGGGAATTAAACCTTGCCATGCTAACCATTGTTTACTATTCAATATGTCATTGTAATTATATCCGTGTCATGATAATTATCTATTCATATTTATAATAAATCACTAGAAAGCATTCAACAAGAACAAAAATTTACAATGTTTGTTAATTTCACAAACGATAAAACTATATGACTAAATCCCTAAAATAATTTATTGACATACATTATTTTCAAATTAAAATATGTTAATCCTTCACAGTAATATATAACTCATTGACATTTATATTATATTATAATAAGTATCAAAATTAAGCGTATTATTGGTAATAATTTTTAACAAATTATTGACATAATATCTTTCTGTAATTTCTTATTTTATGACAAATACTTACTACCTTTTTGACATATAAATTATATTTTTATATATGTACTCATTACTAATCTAAGTTTTAAATAATTCATTGACATATATTTAATCTTGATATCGATGTAAACGCTTTGACATTTAAATAAAAAATAACACAGATCAATATATGACATGGAACAAAATATAAAAAATACTCAGCCAATATAATGTTAGTAAAAGGTTTTAATTGATATTACTATTGTAATTTAGAAATTTTAATATTAGCCTAACCTCAGACTGATCTATTTGATATATTTTTAACATCTGCCTGTCGTTCCAAAACCTTATGCCATCTATGTTGCATATGCTGACAATAAATCTTTAAGTATTGAGTAGTATCCAAATAAAGTTCCCTAGGGACCACGCGGACGAAGCCGCTGACGGAAAGCTATTCTATTATATGGAATTCTGTTTCGATTTTTTTGGTATATTACAAGTGTCTATAACTATGGACTTTATTTAATTTTTGTGTAGCACCGCCTTATTAAAGTCTCTTTTATGTTCGCCATCAAATGTTTATAGACGGAATTAACTAGTTCAAAATTCAGTTTTGTAAATTCGTTCCAAGCTAAATAACAGGTCAAGTAAAACATAAGCTTGTAGCAACATCAGTAGATCCCAAGATAAACGAAAATCGCTTCAAAGCCATCCCTGTCTCGTTAAATACGGAAAGCTGTAATGAAATGTAAACTCCACGTTGAAAATTTAACGACAAAATAAAGAACTAAATATTTCATCTGAGACGGGGAAAATATGTGAACAAGAATTTTAAAACTAAATGCGCCGTTTGCGGACTAAAAATAGAAATAGCCAGAATTCAATGAAAGACATGTATTTTTAATGGAATAGGAATATAGGAAGAATAAGAATAATCTTAAGAGTGTGCGTAAAACCAAGTATCCAAAATAAAAAGGGACAAGATGGAATATAGCGCGGCTAAAACGATATTCATTCATTAATTATTCGCAAACTATAACAATTGTTACAAAAAAGCTGAATAGTTCCCTCGGGCACATATTTATCAAAAATAATAAAATTACAATAACAAATGGAAAAAATGAGAATACTTTTAGGAGTGTGTTTTTTTCTATGGTGAAAATAACATAATTCACATTTTGCCTATGATAGATCTTTTTGAAATTTCATTCTGTAATATTAATTATATTTAGACGTTATTTATTTGAAGAATACTCTTTGCTTGTGAACTAGTGATTTTGGATGCACGAGCCCTCTTAAAGGGAAGTTTCAGGAATAGGCATCCCTGCCAATACGATGTGGTTACACCGCACAGATTAAGCATAAATTTACATACCAAATTCACCTTCTTGCTGAACGTTTAACTTGTCATACTCAAATTAATAACAGTGAACTAAACAGAGTCTTAATGGTGAATAATTAATATAACTTCATAAAAAAAGTAGTTTTGAAATCGAATGAAATCGCGTGATTTAAAATTAAAGTACAGACATTATTTTTTTATCAAATTGTCTATGATTTTTTTTTAATGTAATAAAAGTTAAATGAAATCAAATATTAATAAATACATCATACGAATATTTCAGTGCTTATTGTTTTTTAATATCCATGTTTCGAAAAAAAAATACCCGCACAATTGATGCCTTTGACTAAATAAAATGTCTTATTAATCCAAACCGTACTCAACAGTAAATACTTTAACGTCAAACACATTGTAGGCACTGCCATAGTTTATCATTTTAGTATCCGCAGCACAGCCTTTGCGAAGCGAATATCTAATAATTATTGAATAGATTCTAAGTTATTGTAATATCTGTTCGTCTATGACTAAACTTTTGATAATTACTAATATTTCTGGTCTTTCTATAGATAGTATAAAACAAAGCTTCTCGATGTCTAACGCTGAAATCTTTTAAAGTACACTACGGATTTAATACGATTTTCATCAATACCAAGAGTGATTCGTAGTAAATTTTTAGTAGCTCAGTGGTATAGTAGATATGCGCCGCGACTCGCGCTCATTGCTGTTAAGCAACTTTCGAAAGATCGGTCACGGGAGCAAACAATTATTATCTCGAGCTACTCTATGCTTCGGAACGCATATTTAGCCGTTGGTCCTGGCTTCATTTCTAATCCTCATTGGGCTGGCGTTGAGCCATAGCCCATTCTCCTCAACCATCCATAAGGAAGGCTTAAGCCCCTACAGTGGGGACGTAAAAGTGCTGATGATGATGATGACAGTGTGTTTTGAAGTCGCTGGCAAAAAGCAAGATTTTTTAAATAAAATATCTTTAATGAAAAATACTTAAAAAGCTCCGAATATGGCATTTTTAATTAAACTCATCTGTCATGATTTCAAGTCTGCTGTACATTATACATACCAACAGGCGAGTTTTACGCATTCTGTATACAGACTTCTTGGTTTAGATCTCTGAATTGACATATTCTGTTCTCCCCGCAGTACACTACCAACGCATCGCTCACCGTGATATTAAGCCGGCTAATCTCCTACTCGGCGAAGGGCGAGTACAGGTTGCTGATTTGGGTGCATGTGGGGAGTTGGCAGGCGCTGGCCGACTTACAGGCGCTGTTGGTACACCAGCCTTCAGGGCACCAGAAGCGGCCGCCAACGCAGACAAATACGTTGGAGAAGTAAGCCAACTAATCTTACTGAACTATCATCTGATGGACGCTGATTCGTTTTCAGACCCCAATAAACAGTCTCGCTACAATAGAAGTTAGAGAAATAAAGTAACAAAATGATGTTAAAACATTGTCATCAAATCATAAGCGCAATTCAATTTTATTTTCGTCTCAATGTACTTTGTAGTGCCATTACTAGCGTAAGCGAATATGCACATTGCTCTCTGATACTGGAAATTGCAAAGAAGTCCACCACTTCGTATTTGACTATAAAATAATAGTTTGAATATTTATAGCCGAGGGTTAACCGATTATGATTACCTTCCAGTATATTTCTAACAAACCTTTTGATTTGAATTAAATACATAGCTACCTATTATAAATACTATTATTTTTTATAAAAATACATTAACTAAAAAAATAATTATAGGCACTTAACACTTATGTTTTGAATATCAAATAATTATAAAGAATTTAATTTAAGCATTTAAATCTGCGCTTTTTTTGTCAATCTGTGAAAAACCTGTCAAAAATTTATATTTCCTAGCCTATTTTTTATAGAGACTTGAGAAACGCTCAAGAGGCTCGAGAAATAACTCACATTCACCCGTCTCTCTAGTTTCTCCAAAAATCAAAACTTGAAATGAAAATGGGTAATGTATCTATAAAAATGTGATTTTCCTCCCTAGGCAGCGGATATGTGGTCTCTTGGGATTACTCTGTTTGCCATGGTAACAGGCCGCGTGCCCTGGATAGGACCCACTGCTGCGGACCTCCAACGTCGAGTTTTAGAAGAACCTCTCACTTTCCCTGCGAGGCCACAACTCTCTAAGTCATTGAAAGATTTACTTCATAGGATGCTAGATAAGAATCCTGCCACGAGAGCAACCATGCAAGAAATTAAGGTATGAATTGAGAAAGAAAAACTATTCAAGTTTTTGAATTTATTTCTTTATGAAATGAAGTTCCAAGATATAGAAAGACTGTCGGATGAACTAATGATGAAACGAAACTGATTCATCACGCCAATTACAGACCGCTCAGGTTGCTCGAATATTATCGGCGTATAATGTCAAAGAGCATAAAAACCGACGATATTATATCAAAAGAGTAATTTAATGTCAAGTAAGTGATAGACACGTGTAAGGATATTGCGTTTGACTTATAGAGGAGTAATAATAGGGCAAGGGATCTTCGTGAAAATATAAAAGAAATACAATATAATCTTGAAACATTTATCATTTTCATTATTTAGTGTTTGCGTGTTTTTTTTTTTCATTATCATTTTGCATAGGAACACGAGTGGGTGACATCTTTCGGCCAGGATCCGCTACCTTCGGAGCAAGAGAATTGTAGACTAGTGGAAGTGACAGACGAGGATATGGCACAAGTCGTCACCTCCATCCCCAATCTATCTACGCTGATTCTCATCAAGACAATGCTCAAAAAGCACAGTTTTCAGGTTTGTGGGGTATTTGTAAGAATACATTTTGTTTCTAACAATATTTTATAGGAGACTGTCGACAAATAATAAAACAACCACAACCCAACTACTTAATAATTTCTAAAGAATTCCAATTCGTAATACAGGCAAAGCTGAATTTAGCTTATCGCGATACCATTAGGTTTGGCTTTATGAGACGCTAAGGTTTGCGCAACAATTTTATATGAAACTGAAGTACTGTGATACTATAAACTCATATTGTTTTTAATGGTAGCGTTTTTGTTATGTAGCGTTGGTTTCTGTATGAAAATAAGACTGGCATAAACTTTTAAGATAGTACAATTTATTTTATGTAGAAATGTACAGTATGAATATATTGGCCTATTCTTTTAGCATAATCTAGCATTTTATAACCTCAACTTTCTATTAAATTGAGGTTATAAAATGCTAGATTTGTTAATCCTGGCGGTAGGGAGAGTGCAGAGCCAGCTAGTATTGTGTATTGATAAATCGAACACCGTTTTGGTTCTCCTTTAGTATCAAAGAATAAAAATATACGAAATATCTTTCGTTCACATCTCTTTTGTCTAATCCCTAGTTGTATAAAACCTCTAGTGTAGTTGATAAAAAAACATACGTTATTATTAACGCATTTAGTCCTCATGGTGTGCTATCGAGTCATCCTCCCCTCTCCCCTTGACATTGCATCTACATATATACAAAGCCTTTATTCCAGTAATCGTAGCATGATATATTGGAGAAGCGCTTTTACATCAACGTCAGATTCTCGGGGCGAAACTGAGACAAAACGTTCTCGATTTTATTTTGCGACGCATGCAGCAGTGTTAACTAACATTAATAGGTGCTTGATGATGAGATCTCGTCCGCAGAATCCATTCCTCCGCAGCCGCGAGGGCAGCGCGCGGCGTGAGTCTGGCAGTGGGCGCGGGGAAGCGGGCGGGGAGCGGGCCGCGCGCCGTGGACATCTAGCACGCGCCGGCCGCTCACTCTCCGCGCCGGGGAACTATCTCACTGACAGGTCGCGAGTATTTTTTTTGGACAGCAGAATTTCGTTATGCCATCGACAACATAACGAAATTCTGCCATTCTCTCATTAGATATGAAAGATCTGCTGTCGTCTTCTCTGTTATGTTTTTGGTCTATTGCTTATTATGTTCTTTGTCGATTCGCTACTTTTGAAGCTGCCGTTAAGGCTGTTGTAGAATAATATCTTAACGATGACTGTTTGAATTGCCAAAGTATTACCTTAGCTGCTCAATACTCTTACCGATCTAACAAAATTGATGGAGATGGTTTTCCATGTCTCGTCGCATTTCTGTTACTTAATGTGTTGATATTTATATTATTTCCATAGGCCACAATCCTTCGACATCAACCTTGAGTCAGTGGAAGAGTCCCGTGACCAGAGTCAAGAGATGAAGGACAAGGAGGGTGAGCGTACCGCGTCCTCCGCACCCGCACCCGTGCCTCGCGTGCAGTCCGCGCGGTGATACACCACCCGCCGCCCCCGCGGGCGGGGCAGCGCCTACATATTTGACAAGGAAGTCAAACTCCTCATGTTCTAATTCCAAAATCAACCTATTCGGCAAAGGCTGTACGAAGTACACGTCCGTCTCGTGACGGTCGAATGTGTTCTTAATTTAAAATATCGAAATAATAGTTTCAAAAACTAATGCTGCTCTATTTTTCCTCAAGACTACAGCTTAATAAGTAGGTACTAATAGCACACATTTTATTCATTATTTTCTAATAACTAAAAGATTTCAAAACTTCATCTGTAAATTTATTAATTGTATTTAACACATCTTCGTGTTTCTAAGCGTTTTTTGAATATTAAGAAGATTTATTAAGTAATTACTTAGATACCCATAGAGTAATTTCAAATCGCTTGGGTGTGACGCCGATATTTTTTATAAATCTTTGAGATTCCTAGTCAGTAAGTATGTAATATAAATTTTTACATAAATTTAAATTTTTCATTCCTCGCCTAGTCGTCACGTTTTTAATGATAATTAATATTTTTAATACGATTTTAAATTTTGTCCTCTTTGATGTAGATTAAGGAATGCACTAGTAATTATTTTTTTCATAATCTCACACAAGAACTACACGCATCAGTTTTCGGCCTCTAAACGTTTACAAATAGTCTATTTGTCTGTCACAGGTTGCATTCATGATGAAATATTTGATAGTTTGCCTGTGTAAAATTAAATTATGTTCATCTACCTGCTTAATATTAATCACTTACATTATTCATGAAATAATTGGCACAATTGTCAAACAGGTCCGTCATGGAAATAATTTGCAGAAATAAAAGAAAACATACTTAAAATACACGCGCAATAAATATTACATAATATTTTTTATATATTTTTTTTTATTTTTGTGACAATTATAAAACCAGGAAGAGAATAGGTAGGAAAATTCTTATTTTTGATGATGATGACAAAATCTTCTTACGGGCCGATTAAGTAGATCGCGCTAAGTATTTATTTGCAGATGCATTTGTTGCGTACTAATTAGTAATTCATATCATTCCTAGCGTATTCATAAAACTTGCTCAAGCTGTAAATATATTAACATTTAGTTTTTTATCATATTAATAATTAATTAACAGCTCCTACAGTTAAATGGTATATGCCAAATACTTATATGTCGACTACTAGTAAAGCTGCTCGCTTCATATGAGGAACTTGAGAGCCTCAAGAGATTCGAGAGACTCTAGGCACGGGCGAGATACACCGAGAGTGAGCGAGAGAGTACGAGCAAATCTCATTCTTGACTACTATCCCCAGTCTCGATGGCACTGACTAATGGTCTGATTTGTTATCCTCGCCTTGTTGACTGATACTCGAGAAACTATCACTCTATTAATGTAATATGTTCCGTCACATGTCTTGTTAAAAAGGTATAATTTTTATTCTTGTTGTTTTGGATTAACAGCTTTATTTTTTAATTACAAAACAACATTTTCTGCAAACACCAATTGCCGTCTAGAATCAAAAAATATTAAAATTTAAAATAACAGCTGGTCTAGTAGTTTACGTAGAAGTCTTTGAGTTACATATATGAAATACTTAAAAAGATAGCCCTTTGTGTCCATATTTATGTTTAGAAATGAAAACAAAATTAGATTTATATTTTTATATAGCAAACATATACTATTTGACAACATTTGGAATGTCAATATCATGTTATTAAACATTTGTCTAATAATTTTATTGATCTATTAGTTTATGAGGGTATGCATTTAATACTTTTTTTTTAATGTACACGCATGATTATGTACGTATTATTAAGCGAATGACCAATTTTGAAGTCAAATTAGCTTTATTTTAGCATTGTAATTATTGTAAGGTTTGCAGTGCTCCAGTAAAATTTAAAATATTGTTAAAAATGTAGTTACATTTTTTTTCAAATCGCTGTATATAGAAATTTGCATTAAGAAAAGGCTCGAAACATCTACCGACAAAAGTTTAAATTATAATAAACAGAATTTTGTATTGAATTTTCTCTAAAAAAAACTATGATATGAGTTATGATTTTCTTTTTAATGTAATAATAGCAAATTGAGGTTCCAAAACGAATAAATTACTCTTTGTTTACTTTTGGTTCTTCGTTTTTGTTTTTAAACAGTAGTAACGAAAATTAACTTTGTTTTTTTTTAACCACTCCGTTATTTATTATGTTACGTATAAACGAAGATAATATCTTTGGTATATTTTGACGATGCTTAACGTCAAGAATTAACAAAAATGTGTGAAACAAAGTACGTCCAAGATGTAAAAATTGATTTATTTACTTGACATTGGCAGAATTGTGCGAAATGCGCAGATAAGCCATTAATTAAAAAAGAAGAAGGCGAACTTTATATTTTCTTTGTTCATCATTATTATTATTATAACCATGATGAAGTGAAAAGAGAACGTCTGTAAATATTCAACAATTAACTGTGGAGCAAATGAAAAATATTGATAAACTTTGTATGTAGATAATTTGCAATGTAGTAATAATATACATTGGTACAGCAGCCCGTGTACTATGACGTACTTGAGAGACTCGTGCAACGTTCGAGACAATCGTGAGTGAGATATGCCTATACAATAGCTCACTCTTGGTCCCTCTCTCGTCCATTTCTCGAGCCTCTCGAGCTCATCATACTACACGGGCAGGAAACAGTGGTGGCAATTTTGTTGCTAAAACTCGACTAAAATTAATTTTAATGCAATTTACAATTCTGTTTATTTTCTCATATATGTACATTTATTATATGTGTCAATAATAAAACACCACGTTGCGTGTCAATTTCCAGTGTCATTACATTTTTATGTATCTTCAGTACATTTCAGTGTTTAGATATTCTTAGTTCCTAGATTTAGGTGTGTTATGTTTTTGTGAAATAATTTATATTCACGGGGAAAATATTTTTAATTAAACTCTTTAACAAGTTTTATTTTAAAATACATGTATATTAATCCAAATAAATACTTTATACTACAAAAAAATTAATCAGTAAAAAAAATACGTCGGAGTCCTTACGATAAACAGAGAGGACCAAGCGCCATAAGGCACGGTCCTTATATACATCTTTCGCCTCCTCGGCGTTCATTACTCGAAACGACGAAAGAATGATAAAAATTGATGTTTATGGATTTGTCTGTATTATCAATTTATAAATTTATACCTAATTGATCCACCAAAAAAAAACATGACGAATTAGTAAAATGAATCGAAATGTCGCTTTCACATCGCTAAGATGCGTATCCTATGGCTAGAGTTTTAGGCCGTCGCACCCCTGATCCCATTCTGCGGTGCTGTTTCGGTCCAGAATCGCAATCCGTGATAAAGTCAAATTAGCAGGGTTCCAACGAACACGCTTCTTGCACACGACTAGATAGATATAGTTTTGAATCTATTAACTTTTATCCCTTTACAAGTGAAAGGTCCAAACGTTACATTGCCTTTGAATGTTGTGATAGAGAAATTATTATGAGACGAAAGTAAGTGTAAATTTATTAATAAACTTGTATAGGAAAAAAAGTTTATTTTTATTGAACGCAGTTGAGCGGAAAGGATTTGATTCATAATTGTCTGAAATGAGTTGCGAGTAAAATAATCAAAATGTGAATTATTAAGATGAATTTAATAACGAATTCATGTAAGTTGAGCCCTTTCTGCTGAACGATATTAAATTTGAAATTTTTAGGTGCGTCGACGTGTAATATAGGGATTTTGCTAATATTAGTCGAAATAGATGTACATTTTACCCTTAAACTTTCGCCACTAAATTGGATTTTTAATGAGGGTATAGTGAAAATGGTTAAGTGGTTCATATTTGAAGATGACAAAAATGTTCTTGTGATTTTATTTTTCCTACACGCTAGATTTTGTGTGAAAATTGTATAAGAATATTATGTAAATCGTTAGTTTTGAGAGAAAACCTGAAGTCCCTGTCATATAATACGTGATAGACACTAGTTAATCTTTCCTTATTGGATAGTTTTACCTTTCTTACTAATATAACGAATTTACCAATTCCTATTTTCACTAATTTATTTACCGTGTCTTGCAATGAAACAAATTTGTTACTGTTGTGTCGAATTTTACTATTATTGGAAATATTAGTTACCTTTAATGTGGCAGGTGGCTGTCCAAATAACAATTTTACATTTATTTTCTGTGTTTGTAAGCTGAAAATATTAAGCTTTATTTAATGTAGTTCCCATATAAGGACTCACTGTTTGTGCTCAGAAAAATTGTTTCTGATAAAGCAAGACGAAATATGATATTCATATTTCGTTATTTTGGTGACTAACAATGACCCTTCTAAAAGTCATTTTCATAATTTCATTCTTAAATATTCAATATTTCTTTTAAGTGTCATGATTGAGACTATTTGAATGTCTCGGTAACTTTGTATACTAGAGGAGTCTAATTTCAAAAATCTCTAAAATTATTTTTTATAAAACGAAGACGAACTTTTGAAAAATACATTATTTATTTATTTGCTTTTTTAAATTCACAAATCAGTTTTCATTTTTCTTTATAAAATGTCATACAAATATTATTGTTTGGTGTAAAGTTCGAAAATAAAATATGGACAATACATTTCAGTTGTTCAAAATCGTTTTAGAGGATTTCGAAAGCAGACCACTCGTATGTCACCAAAGTACGAAAGAATATAACTTAGAAAATATATCGATGTCCAAGTGAACACTATAGAATACAAAGAAAGTTGTTATGGATCTTGTGCGATATTACTTTCGTATGTATTTAATATTTGTTGACAAATACCACATGTTTTGTAAAAGTATATCGTACAATTAAGCATTTAAATCTACGCTTCACAGTGAGCTGCTTTATTCCCTTTTAAATTCAATTATTAATTTACTAAATAAGATTTTTTTTTATTACATAAAATAAATTAAAAATAAAAATTCTAGTAGTTTCATTCACTACACCCGTGTTGAGTTATCTACATTTACTCTCG